CAATAAATTGGGTTTGGAAATAATCAAAATAAGTATTAAGTGCGTTCGCTATCTAATCTGCTAATTTATGTCCACTCTTATTTTTCAGACAGCAATAGTTACACCGCCTAATTATTGTATGACTACTTAGTAATATTCACTCTTGATACTTACCGGTATCATGCCGAACTCAACGAGATCACGGGCCTGCACTTTGGTCAGGCATTTATCACGCTCCTCCTGGTCGTTGTCCATGGGACTGGCGGCTGATTGAGCTGCACGACGGCCAGATCCGCTGGTCGAAGGCATGCCGAAACCCAAATACTAGAAAGTATAAGAGGTAATCAGTAAGTGAAGCCTGAGTAAATATCACTACCTTACCTTTTCGTTGAGACGACGTGCGATAAGCCTGTCCAGTCCTGTGTAGGCACCAGAGGCCACGAAAAGTATATTTGTGGTGTCCACCTGGACTGTCTCGCCACGCAGCTTGCGCGGGGAGTTGCGCTCCGGCACGTTGACCACAGTGCCTTCGAGCATTTTTAGCATGCCCTGCTGCACGCCCTCGCCTCCGACGTCACGAAGCTGGTGGATTCCGGGGACGGCGCCGATTTTGTCCACCTCGTCGAGGAAAACAATGCCCGTTTGTGCGCGCTCTACATTGTAGTTGGCGTCTTGCAGAAGCTTTGAAATAACGCTTTCGATGTCCTCGCCCACGTAGCCCGCCTGTGTCAACGTGGTGCAGTCGCAAATGGCGAAGGGCACATCCAGGCACTTGGCGATGGTCTGGGCGATCAGCGTCTTACCGGATCCCGTGGGGCCCAGCATGATTATGTTACTCTTCTCCAGCTTGACATCGCTGGACTGCCGGTCAAGTATTTCTGATCCGGATCGGTGATCGCCACCTCCACGCGCATTGCTGGATGATGCACCGGTTAGACCTGCTCCAAGTCCAGGTCCTCCCATTCCCCCGCCCATGCCCATCTGAGCCGGCGACTTTGGAGGCAATTCGTTGCCCGGCGAGCTGTTCAGCGTGTGACCGATACCGGTGATGTGTAGCAGGTCGGGACGAGGAATACCATCTAGGCCGCCACCGGATCCACTGGCACCCGCTCCCTGGCTTTGCAGTTGCGGCAGATTGTGGTGGATGCGCTTGTAGTGGTTGTAGACGGCCACCGCCAGAACCTTTTTGGCAAAATCCTGTCCCACAACGTGTTTGTCCAGGTACTCCATGATCTTCTGCGGTGGAGGTGGCGGCTTGCGCTGGTTCTTGGGCTCATCCTTAGTGCGCTGCTTGGTCTCCACTTCCGAGAGCACAACGAAGAAGTAGTTGCACTTGGCGCACTTAACGAACCGCGTCGAGCTGACAAAAGTCTCAACCTGGGTGCAGGCGCTGCCGCACTTTGGGCACGAGAGGAACTTGTCACTGCCGCCGCCTGGCGGATCGGCACCACTAGTCGAACTTGCTCCAGAGCCCGCCGCACTGCCGGGGCCCTTCGCTCCACTAGCTCCCGACGCACTGGTTCCCCCTTCGCTGCTGCTCCCAGTCTCGCTGGAGTCCTCTGGCGTTCTTGAAGTGGCGTTCGTTACATCAATATACGCCGGTATTGCCATCGCGGGCTCCAGTCTCATCATGTGATTCCTCGCGCAGTTCCGCGTTGCCATGTGGAAGCGTCTTACGCCACAGTTGCTGTCCCCCGCCGGTCCTGCGCTTAGGATAACACATCTTGCGGAGCGGTGTGTTTGACCTGCCCCGCTTCCTGGAAATAAAGAATGTGTATTAATATAGAAAACTGTGCTATAAAGGTTTTTTTTTCACTGTACATGGATTCAAAAGATTTAAATTGCGTCTCATGCACAAAGCAGAAAAAATGGAAGCATCGACCCCAAGTGCGGGGTTAATGCTTTCCAAACCACAGCCAATTGATGACAACAAAGGGAATCGGGGATTGGGAATCTCTAGATTGGCCCACAAAACAAACTAACAACTGGAGGCCAAGGGCAATTAGCATCTTCCGATATAGCAGATGACTCGCGCCTTTTTCGCAGTAGTGTCAATCGCACAGGGCCTTGATGATACTGGCTAATCTCGGAATTCACAGGTGCTGTAAATTGGACAGCAGAAAACAATCTCTGCTAGTTTCTTTCAGTGAAATTTGTTGGGTAAACTTCCGGCTCTCGCTTTCCTAACCTGCAGGCCAGCAAATATAATAACCGACTACTGGCCATTAAAATGTGTAAGAAATGGCTCTACTGCAGACATGATAAAGCAAAAACCATTGCGTCAGAGCGGCAAGCGGTAATTGCGCTACCTGGCCGTTCGGGCCTAATAAAACAATTCAAGTTCAGTTGGACCAAGAGCCACGCTTGCCTGATTGGAAACGTCGGGGGGTGGCCTCCAGTCAAATGCGTGGGGCTTGTGCATGTAAGATCAGTTGGATGAAATCCCTATTTAGCGGCGCCACTGTGGCCCGTTGACCGCGAGCAGCTTTTTGGTATCAAAAGAAGACGACCTTCACTCAGTGTTTTGGTTGTTTGACACTAGACAAGAAAAGTTCAGCGAGCACAGCAGCTAGAAAATTCTGATAAGCCAAGTGGCGGGGGGAGGGCTGGGATTCCGATTCGGAATCGGATTGGTAAACTGCAGGCTGTTTTTTTAGTTGCCATTGCCAGTTGTTGTTGATTCACGGCTAATGACGCAGTTACGTATGCGATTGGCAGCACAACAACAAGACGGGGCAGCACTTACCCTTTGCCCACACACTGTATTTGGGGCCCAGCAGGATAATCCGCCGCACCATGCTCATGGTGGCTGCTGCCCGCCGCCTCTACGCCTCTGTTCCTTCTGCCGCTTCCTCCGCGCCCGCTGCAGTTGCTCCTGGACTCGGATTCCCCTGCGCCGCTGCTTTGCTTCGCTACTCAGCTGGCCGCCGCTTCTTCTTCTTGCTCTGCTGATCTGCAAAGTTGATCTGTTGGTTGTTGTGACTCCTGCTGGGTATGGCTCGGCTTGCAGGGATTTCTTTTCTATATCCACTTGTTGGCTTTCCGTCGCTCTCCAAAGTGCGTCGCAATTTTGCTGATTTTCCACCTGCCTTGCTTTATTTTCGGAGGAAAATGGGGGAATAGATTGCGCTCTGCACGTAATTTCTGTGGCTGTGTGCGTGCGTGTGATTCTCGTTGTTTTGGCTGCCCCACTCGCTCTGCTTCTTCTTGCTTATTTGGTGGTTATACAGTATTAAAAGATCCGCTAATTTCTAGGGTCTCCAACATTATCTGATCCAGTTTTTGTCTCTTGTAAGTACTCGGAAAATCTGGAAAAATCGCAGCAATCCAACTAAACGATTACGATAGCAATCGATTGTTGCTATCGGCCTCAGCTGTCCGCTGCTCTTCTTCTTCCCAATCTTCGGTGAGGCCGCGCAGCGCACAGTGGAACACAAAGTGACATAAAGTGGACAAAAACGAGGAGCCAAATACTGTGGCTTTGAAACTGGGAATTTTGCTGTCTGCTGGAATTTTGACTGTGTCGAGGCCGGAAAAGTAAATTTCTAACACGAAAATATAAAAACGTGAATTTCGGAAAGATCACTCTTTTTTCTAAAGCATTCTGAGTTGAATTTCAACGTGGCATACATTTACACTACTTTCACTTAAGGCTAAATCATAGTTAATAGCCGGGTATGATGCGACCCTTCTTGCTGGCCGTCTTTAGTTTCCGGTTCTTCTTGTCCTTGCTGCGCTTCTCCAGGTTCTCCTGTCGCTTTTTCTGCCTCTTTTCCTTGTCGTGCTCCACCTTCTGTTTGCGTTCCGTCCACTTGGTCTTAGACTTCTTCTTCTCCACGCGCCGCTTCTTAATGGCCTTTTGCAGGAGCTTGGTGTCGTCCTTGACCTTCTTGCCCTCGACCTTGTCGAAGGCGTTGCGCCAGGCGATGTCCGTCTGAATCTCCGCCGCCTTATCCGTTTCGCCCTGTTCGCGCAGCTCGGTTAGGTGCTTCTTGGTGTCGCGCAACTTCTTTAGAATCTCCTTGGGGTTTTGGTGTGACTTCTTGGCTTTACCTCCTGGATTAGCGGCAAAGTCCACCTTGGAGTAGACGATCTTGGCCTCCTGGTTGTACACCGGCTGCACCTTGACCTGCTGGATCTGTTCCTTGCTGTCCTCCGTCTCCTGTTCGGTCTTCACTAAGCCGTTCTTCAGCTTCTGGTGCTTGACGTTTTCGTTCTTGAGGTTTTTGGCCGAGGAGAGGAGCAGTTTCTGGACGCCCTTGCTGCGCTTCAGCTTTTTGGACTCGCGTCGTTTCTGCTGGCGCTCCGTGGTGGGACCCTTTTTCTGGCGCAGCTTGTTCTTGATGGAGGCTATGCGCGCCTCCACATCCTCGTCGTCTGAGTCTTGTTTTTTCTGTTTTCCCTGGTTTCTCTTTTTTTTTTTGCCCGATTCCTCCGTGTCCGACAGCAGGTACTCTTCGTAGGTCTCCTCATCTGCAGGCAATACGATAAAGTTAGGGAATCAAGGCTTTTCATTGACGGTTTTACCTTCTTGTTTGGAGTAGGGAACTTTGTGAGTGGTCAGCAGTTCCAAGACACGCTGGTGGAACTTTTTGGTGATCGTGAGCAGGTCCTCCTTCTTGGGCTTGTGCTCCTTGTTGTGCGCGATTTCGTACTCCTCCCGCAGACATTTCACGATCTCCGCTTGGGTCATTTTCGGTATAAAACAATAATAAAACTATTATTTACGCACGCACACGTGCGGAAAAGCAAGGCGGTTGAGTGCAGTGTGACCCCGAAGAATGTGGGTAAAATGTTTTCACCAGTGGGTACCCTGGGGCAAATGTCTGGCAACGCTACTAGATATGAGGGGTATTCCCTGATTCAAAGAATTGAAGAGTTAATTTCGCATTGAAGGAGGTTGGGAAGGTATAAACGTGAGTTAACCACAGCTTCAGTTTCAAATTCTTGCTGAAACTCTCAGAAATCCGTCCAGACAGTTATCAAACAGTGTGACCAAACGCACGCTTTTGAAAAACGCTTTCTCCAGCCTTTCGTCATTTCTTAGCGCTCCCGCTGCGGTCCCACCAGTCTCACTTTTCCGTAAAACATCGTTGAAGAATGACTAATTTGCCAGTTTTAAGTATTTACTCAATGCCTAGCTAATTGCACATCGCGAACAAACACACAGAAGTTCAGTTTAAGTTGGAGACGCGAGCGGCACCAGCGAATCAGCCAAGATGAAGAGGCAGTTTGCGAAAATCAAAATAGCTGCCGAAAATCTGTCAAGGTAAGTTCAAAGGCCAGCCAGTCAGTCAGTCGGATGTCTGTGGGTGTGTGTAAGTGCGCTCCAGGTGGACGGACAGGTGTGTGCGTTGCCTCATCACGAAAGCAGCAGCAGCAGCAACAACAGACAGGCGACCACAGAGCAACTGCATCAATAACAAAGCGCGATGACAGCAATAACAACAACAACGACAACAAGCACAACAGCGGGCTGCTGATGATGACCTAACCCGTGCCTAACCCGTGTCCAAACCCCCTTTCGCACCCGCAGATCGAGCAAGTCGGACAGCAAGGACTCCGAGCTGGAGGCGATCGAGCGGCAGGTGGACAGATACCGGGACACCATCGAGAAGATCGTCCGCAAGCTGCCGGCGCTCAGCGGCGGAGGCGGAAGTGGCAGCGGGAGCAGCGAGGAACAGGACAAGCGGACCAAGAAGAACAGCCACTACAAGATCGCCCAGGCCCTGGACGAGTCCGCCAAGGAGCTGCCCAAGGACATGCCGTTGCAGAAGGTCCTCGCCAATTGCGGTAAGTTGTCGGGCCATCGGCATTTTCAGTGTGGTAGTCAGGGGCGTAGGCGGGCACTAGCCAGAGGGGGAACCTTTCTGCATCAAGTGATTATAGATTGCATTCAGTGCGTTATTCAAATGCTTCATCTTGCTTCAGCTACCTAACTAGTTTATCATAGTTGGTTAGCATGCCCGCTTGAATTGCCCACATCTATATGATGATTTTTACAGCCCTAAAATATCCCCTTCTTGCATCAGCAATCAACCATTCCGACGGCCCTGTTGTCTCCGCTGATAAGGCGCACAGTGGTTGTCGTTCGTTCCAAATCCGATAATCGCCGCCAGACATGCACAATGGCACACCAATGCGAGTACGGGTTCGCAGGGGGCTTGGAGAACACTCGCGGATGACTATGTCACGGGCTTCGGGCTTGTCTGTGTGTATTGTTGGCCTCGCCTTGTCGCTTGGCCTTGTGGCATTTACATTTCTCAACTGCAAACGGCAACATCAACATCGACGGCGTTTTTTAATCATTATTATAATTTTTATTATGACTTTTTCGCTGCTTTCTTTCGCAGCCCGTTCGCCGTTCGCCCGCAGTATTGGTATTGGTTATTATTTGCGGTTTCGGCATTGTCTATTTATACACCTTTTTGTTTTGCCAGCCAAGTTAGCACGCCCCCATTGGCGCCCGCTTTTATAGCCCTGCTTCTATACAATTCACTGTCCGATTTACTGTGCATTTCATTTAAATTTGTTACACATCGCGCGCGAAGTGGCATAACAAAGCTCGGTAAATGGCGATAATTATGCTAGCTTGGCTAGCTTGCTAGCTGGCTAGCTGGCTAGTAAAAGTAAAAGTCTGGGCCATGTTCATACATCATCGTATCGTCATGATCTCCTCTTCGCCGCTCATTTATTTTGTGGGCGCTCCCCCTAGGCCGTATTACTCATTCCGAGTGTTATTTTTATTTGGCTGTATTGTTTCCATTCGCTGTTTCCCCCTTTCAGGCACTTTGCATTCCACATATTCGCAGATGCGTGTGCGTCAATTGCAATTGCCGTTTCTGCCGCAGTTGCAGCTGCAACCTCGCAGCGGTTCAAGAGCATCTCGGTGGTTGTGTAACGGCAGGGATCTGGAGAGCCCCTCCGCCGGAGGTTCCCCCGGTTTGGTTCCCCACGTTCCTGATTAGACACGAACGTTTCCACATGCAACCAGCGCGGCCACAGTGAACGTGTGTCCGTGGGTTAAGTAGGAGCTCCATTTGAACGTTCAGGAAATCATAATTGGGTCAAGCTGGGGAAATCGATCGCCAAACCATGCAAACTATGCAAAAACTGTTTCTTTCGATGGGGCATAAAGCATTGTTACAGTTTCCTATTCAAATGTTTGGCGAGTTTCGGAAACTGAACAATCGAAGGTATATTATAAAATCAAACTCGATTTAAAGTTGACTGCAAGCACAGATGGTTATATTCGTTTATAGCTTCCTTAACTTGAAAATTTTGGAGACGTACTTAAATAGAATAGTAGACACCCCATTATAGTGAGAAATGTTGCTGCAAGGCACATTTACGACTTAATTTCTTTGGTAAATAATATATCAATGTTTAATTGCGGACACAGCCACTTAAATGTTAGGCAACAACTTGAATGCTGCGGAGAAGCTACCACTCCAGACCCACGAAAACACTAAATTACCGCACCGAAACTAGCTTTTTGTCGCCAGTGTTATGTCGGTAATTGCGGTGAGATATCATCGCACTTTAACCACTGTGCGCCCTTTGCCGCTTTTATTGTTAGCCACGATGCGCTTCAATTCAAGCCATTCAGCAAGGGGAGCCAGAAGCGAGCGTATCTCGAATGTTACACTCCAGCGCCGACTTCGTCTTCGCTTTGGACTCCACTCCGACTCCGAGTCCCTCTTCCTCTGCCTTTGCCTGTGGTGCGACCTTTTTGCCTCTGCTGTGCTGCCATGGCGGGTTCAGCTGCTGCGACTCGAGTCTCGGGGCACTCAACACAATTATCACAATTTTGCTTACTCAGCTCGTCAGCCTACTCGTCGGGCAACTCCCCCTCGGATTGCCCCAATCTCTTCCCGCATCTAAGCGGAGCTACTCCCGCAACTGGAAACCGGCACGCCAACATCTTCACAGCTACCGCTTGGCGATAAGGTCTAAAATAAGCAGTGACTTCCTCACTTGCGGGTGGAATGGAATGGAATGCAATGCAAGAGGCTGCGCGATACAGACAGCGAACTAGCTCAATGTACTTGCGATTTACTTAGTGATTGATAAAGTTAGCAAAACACTGGGTGTTTGATACGTATTATAACCAGTTAAATTCGCCTTACATAGCTTTATAAATCTGTCTTACTATCTGTGTTTTATCTACTTTATCTATGTTAAATCATATGTAAATGATAGGGGCATATTATCTTTAGCATTTGCATTTATTGAGGGCCTGCAGCTCCAGAGTTGGTACTCATGTCAGTGTGTGATTCCCCATTGCAGGCGAGCTGGAGAAGACGATGGCCGAGTGCATCATTGAGAGCGAACTGGAGACGGAGTCCAAGGTGGTGAGGCGGCTGAAGAACATCTTGGACAAGGAGATCCAGGAGATCTCCACGCTCAAGCGCAACGTGTCGCGCACTCTGCAGGAGTACACCTCGCTGAAGCGCAGCCATGAGGTGAGTGGCGATCATAAATCTAACGCGGATTCGTGGTTACGTGTATGCTCGGTGAATCGGTGAATCAGTGAATCGGTGAATCGGTGAACAGGCCAGGGAGAGCGAATAATGTTGGATTTCCGTTTTCGCCAAACTGCGCACGATGACAATGGGAGATTGCTAAATTAATTAAGAAATCTGCTCGTTGGAAATAATGGGCCGCCAAAAGCTAGCTTAGCTGGTCAAGTGATTCGCTTTTGCCCAACGACATCCAATCGCGAGGTTGTCTCTGATTAACGAACAATAACAACGATTGTCGGTCGTTGCGGTGGACTGTATCCCTCTTGGTCAAAGTGCACCGTGGTTTGATTTCTTGGGTGTGACAGCAGTTCAAGTTCGATCATTCCCAGAATGGAACCAGCCGATAGAAAGGCCTTCCCAGAATGAAATGCCATAAAGCTAACAAGCAAAAGCGAGCCCTCGCCTTTCAATCAAGGCGAAACCACTGTACTGGGGCGGATGCCAAGAAGCGCCGGCCAAAGAAGCAATCAATTTTTAATTTCCATTTATTATTATTACTATTGTTGTTGGTCTTTCTTCCATGCTGTCTTTATCTCACGCCAGTTTCTATTGTATTGTTTGTTTGCCGTGCGTTTCGCTTTTGTCGTTTACGTTTAAATGATTCGAATCCGATACTCGACGCTGCTGCCTTATCGCCGAGTGGGGACATCTACAGTGGGATGTGGCTAGATTGTGGGCCTGGGCGAGATGAGATGGCATGAACGGCTCTTTGGTGTTCCAATTTCTCGAGGCCCGATTGGTTCTGTCCCTTGGCGTCTTCAAGTTGTAACCGAACAGTTATGGCCGGCTTCTGGACACAAAAACTTACTTTTCGAGTTTCATTGTTTTGTGTCTTATCTGCGTATATTTTTTCGCTCGTTTTTCCTTCCGCTTTATTTGTATTTTGTACGAATCACGACGCCGTTTGCCATATGGAGACATCGGTCGGGGATGACTAGCCGCTGTAGTCGTTGATGTATGTTGTCTGTTTAAGGTGTCGGAAGGCGTTCATTGACTTGGCGACAGTGACATCATAATTGAAATGCACGACCGCTGGCCACTGGCCACTGGCCACTGGCGTATCGGCATTTTCGAAACCAAAGTTATTTACACTCCCCAGTAATCTTATCGCCCATTAAACGCCCGTCGGCTTGCCATAATTCGCTAATCAGACGCTCACCGATGCCCCGGTGCTGTTCTAATTGCACTGCCTGACATAGATCCAATTCCAAAACAACACACGACTGCCTTTGGAAGTGCTAACTTTGGTGCCCGGAATGTGTAGCTTGCGGTGCCAACTGAGATGTAGGTCGCCGAGAGGTTGCGGCTCATGGAAATGATGTGACTCAGTCACTCTCCGATTGATAGGTGGCTACCATTGTCTTCTGGCGGCACATAGCGTCGGGTGCACTTACAGCAATTTGTCACGATTTGTTTATTTTTAGCGCTGCTGCGATACGGGAGCGATGGGTTACCCCACAAGGGGTGTTGTGTTTGCTGTAGTAGGCAAAACTTACATCATAGTGCGCGAACTTTGTTTACGCTGAACGCTGGATTACTCTACTCAAAGAATGTTTTTTTGAGCGTCAGCGGATAAAAATTCAGCATAGGCAATGCGATTATGAATTAGCTAAAAGAATTTATAATTTCAAACTTGGGAAATTACAGTCTTTTATGTTTGCAGTCGCTTTTATGATTCCAGCCTGAAACTCATTGTCCGTTTAGTTTTTGTTACTGATAAGGCCGTTTCTCTTTCACTTTTGGTGAAGGTATGTTACGGAGCTTATCAGCCTTTGTAGTTCAGGAGAATTGCACGTTCTGAAGTCAACTGAGTCAACTTGCATTGTGTCCCGAATGAAAACGATTGTCGGAAGTGGGTGAACTGAATGGAAGTCCGTGATGAGAGCGGTAACAGCTGGTGGGGCTGCGGTAGAGATGGATCTATTTTTAAATGGCCAGCAAAACAGGCATCTTCCATTAGTCATTCGGGTAGCTATTTTAAGATGAGATACCTTTGGCGATTGAACTTTGCTCCTTTTAAAATGTGACGATGTCCGTGACACTGCTTCTTATCTGACATGCTCTAATCAGTGCTTTGCTTTACTCCCGCAGGCGGCAATCCGTCTGGAGGAACCAGCGGCCAAGGTTAACCACATCAAGAGCCAGCAGGAGGAGTGCGAGCTGAAGCTGGAGAAGGAGCGTGATGCCTGGGCGGCCCAGATGCTGGAGCTGATTGCCAAAGAGGACGAGATCGTTAGCTGCATCCGCGACTATGTACTCAACCAAAGAAACTATCACGAACGCGCCCTGCAGCACGTAAACGCCTCGCTGGCCCGCATCCAGGACACCATCCAGGGCACAGAGAAGTCCCGCTTCGGCACGTCGCTCAAGGAGCACTTGGTATCCACCAACCGCGAGATCTCTTACATTGTGGAGCTGTGCTGCTGCTGCCTGTTAGAGCACGGCCTGGAGGAGGAGGGTCTGCTGCGCGTGGGCTGCGCCAGCACGAAGCTGCGGCGCATGAAACACGCCCTGGAGGCGCAGCATGTGAAGACGCCGCTGCCACTGGACTACCAGGACCCCCATGTCATTGGTTCCATACTCAAGCTGTACTTGCGCGAGTTGCCCGAGCCGCTGCTCACCTACAACCTGTACAAGGACTTCATCCGGATCGCTGAAAGGCACAACGAGGCCGAGCGCAAGACGGAGATCAAGGCCATTCTGACCAAGCTCCCCAAGGAGAACTACGCGAACCTGCGCTACCTCACCCGCTTCCTGTCCATCGTGCAGCAGCGCTCGGCGCTCAACAAGATGAGCTCGCAGAACCTGGCCATCGTGATGTCGCCGAACATGCTGTGGCCACGCGTGGACAAGAGCAGCAACGCCCCGGCCGACTACATTGGTCAGGTGAACAGCTCCTCGGCAGCCAACATCATCGTGGAGCTGCTGATCAGCCAGTGGGACTACTTCTTCACCGGCGAAGTCGAGTTCTATTTGACCCTGCAGAAGCAAAAGCTTTTCGTCGAGGGCAAGAGCAAATCCAACTCCTCCAACGAGAACCTGGATAGAAACGACAGTGGTAAGCATACTGCACAGTCGGACATCTATGAAAGGGGCCACTATACAGTATTCGACCTATGAAGCCTTTTCCTTTGTATTTCAACAACGAAGCAAACGACAATTGCACTTTTAGTATTTTCCCGTGCCTTATTTTATTTTTAAAATGTTTTCTTACGTACCGAAAAGCTGTTAAAGTGCAATATTAGTACTAATATTTTGTTCAATAAAATGGATTGGAACTATACTTAGTATTGTGCTTTTGGAAGTGAATGGTGTCATAGGAATAATTATTAACATTAATATTAACTTCACAAAAATCGTTTGACATTTTCGTTTTGAATTTTCTTAGTACCTGTTCGATTTTAAAGTAAATTGTATTTAACATAGACTGGAAAAATATATCATTTTATAACGTATTAATAAGGATTTAGTTTTCTATAAATGTTTAGTTTTCTTAAAAGTTCATATCATATTTAACTTTAACTATCACATTAACTTTCATTTATAGAAGTCATGGAAAGTCCACGCTACGGTACATTGCGCAGGCAAAAAGCTAATGCACCTTCGCCTCCCACCACCAATGGAAACGGCACAATTATGACCACATCACAGACCTCGCACCGACCACATGCAAAGGAGCTGTTCCCACAGCAGACGCCGGAGAAGCAGGAGAAGCCCGCCAAGCCGCCGCTCCCGAATCTGCCGCAGTTTCAATCGCCAGCTGCTAGTCAGCCGACACAGACGCAGCTAGAACCACTGCCTCCGCCGCCAGTAACGCCAGCCAAGCCTGTTCCGATGACGCGGACACAGTTCTTCGGGCTGGACAACCTGCCCTCTCCAACGGCCGATCGCAAGAGCAGCGACAGCATTGGCAGCTTCAAGTTGAAGCCAGATGTGCCGCAGAAGCCCCTGCTGCCCAAGCGACCGACTGTGCTGGGTGTGGGCGCGCCCAAGGCAGATGGAAAGAGCGACGATGAGGGCGGTACGACTCCCACTCAGGCGACCATTGATAATGGCAATGGCAGTGTGCGCTTTAAAACAGAGCATTTTCTGGAAAAGCTGCGTCAGGAGAACGGCGAGACGAACGGAACGCGGGAGGGGCCGTCGGCGGCGAAGGAAAACAATCACAACCACGATCCGCTTCCTGCGGCTGGCGAACCAAATCAGCAGCAAGCTCAGCAGCCAGCTCAGCCCCAAGTCACGACCCCCATCTCTCCGAACTCATTTCAAACGCCCAAGAGGCCAACGGTGCCAGCGCCGCCACCTCCCACAAACTGGAAGTCCTCGGACTAGAGGGGAAGGAGGAGGCGCGCAAGGGGAACGGGGTCAGAGTCATTAGGTGTTACTGTTTACTCGTTAAGACTTGAACGCACAGTAATATATATATTTATATGTAATCGAAATGATCCTTGCGGTAAGGAGGCATTGTGCATTATAGAGAGAAAAGCCTCTGCGTATTATGCATTTGAATTTTTGCCTTGTTCATAAGCAATCTAATTTGTACGTGTTTAGCCATATAACAATATCACGCGAAATCCATTACGTATATAAATGCATATATAGTCTTTAGTAGGCCACCATAAATCAATTGTCGAAATTTGATTTGTAGCCCATGCAGCTCTCAATTGTTAATCCTTGTTTGAAAGGTTGTGATACTTCAGAAAGGTTTTGTGTTTCCTTAATTTTTTGCATTGCTCTTGAGTCCATTATGTTTCCTTCTCCAACGAAAGACATTGTGATTCCCGTTTATAAAAAATTATGATTTCGATAAAGCTCCATTCTGAATTCGGGCTAGTACAGAAGTAGAATTCCAATGTATTATTCAACTCACCAAGTACATTTTGATTGAATTATTATTTCGATGTGCGATGTACTACTCTTTGTATCTTTGCTTTATTAATTTGTAATGCAATTATTATTATTTTTATTTTATAATAAAATTATGTATGATAAACTGTTGTGTATATAAAATATACATAAAACAATGAATATGATTTTACCCGAGAGGTGTTTGCCTTTGTTTGTTAAGTTTATTTTCCGAAATTGGTTGAAGGTGGGTAGGCATAGTTTATGTTAGAATGTGGATCTCTTATGAAATTGGTAATACCTAGCTATTAATCACATACCGACCTCTTCAAATCAAATGATACTTAAGATATCTTCAGCTTTTGTGCCACAAAGAGAATACCTGAACACAAACGATTTATAGACAGCACTTATTATACACCTAATGGCATAACTTCCAAGTCAAATACCTAACTACTTCATATCTGCATATAACTATTTTGCAAAAGCTGCTTCTGATATAAACTAGCAAGGTCCAGATCTGATGGAATAGAGCTTACTTACAGACCAACTCGATATATATTCCATGGTATTTATAGAAATAGTGTTTATAATGTTTTGTGAATAGGTTAGTAAGTGAGCTGATGCTGGAATTACATCAATATATTGTGGAAAAATTCAAATAAAAATTGAAAACCCCAAGTTGGAGTGAGATTTCTGTTCCAATTCATAATGCATAATGGTGGAATACCATGTTTATTCGAATGTTGAGCACAAGACCCATAAGTATGCAATTCGGTATACTTTATTCTACGAAGTTCATATAAAATACACTAAATATGAGGGATACTTTATAATTATATGATGGGCTATCTAATGTTGCTCGTAGTGAGGCAAACATCTAAAGGTGGTAGAGCACCGGTAATCTCCAGAAATCGTAGAAGGATGTGGCAATAGGTCCTTCCTATATGCACAGTTCCAGTTTCAGTTTCATCCGCCGGTCTTCTAGCCACCTCGTCCGGAGTGTCCAAGTCCCTAACGTAATCCATAAAGTTGTCCACATTGATGGGCGCCTCTGCCTTCGCCTTCGCTGGTTCCGTTTGCAACTTCCGCTGGAACTCACTTCTATAGTAGTCGTTGATCATGGACATCATCCCCTTGGAATACCAGTAGATGATGCCAATCAGGAAGAGGCCCTGCATGAAGGGACCGACCATTTTGCAGCCCTCGACCTGATTTGCTTATTCTTTCGATAGAGCCTTCGGATTTCACTGCTGATGCTCCTCGCGGAAGCTTTCGAGCCATTGATTAACCATGTAGAATTGTTCCTTGATGTGCGGCCAGGCCATGGTGACAATTAGCATTACGGTATTGGCGAAGACAAATAGCTTCATCATTTCAAATGCTGATGGTTAGGATAATATTTAATAGTTTAATGAAATAATTTTCAGGGAGCCTAATTACAGACCCTCCGGAGTGCGAAGATAGTCGCCGAAGCCGGAATTTAGATCCTTGTCGTCCTTGTCGTCCACCTTCTGCTTCTGCTCATGCTTGTTATCCTTATCCTTCTCCTCCCGGCTCTTGCCCCTACCACCACCCTCGGCTTTATCCTTGCCGGAGTGTCCTTTACCGTGCTTGTTCCTGCCGTATCCCGTGGAAGAATTGGCAAAGGCCGATTTCCTCGGCTTCATTGCATCCAGACAGCAGCAGTTGGTCAGCCGGACCACTGCATTGGATTCGAGATGGTGCCGGAACTGGGAGCTCCCCGAATGGTCCTTCCTCGCCAAGTGCTGCTCCGCAAATGACACCGTCTTTGTGGTGCCAATTGGCGTGGCGTCGCTTCTGGCAATTTTATGGTTTCCATTTATTGATTTGCGATTTCTGCTTGTCGCTTTGGATGGGTGGGAAAAGTGGGAGTGGCGGCGGGTGCGGGTTGCGTGGGCGTGGGCGGGACAGGTGTCCAAATAGAAATATGTTGTTAGTAGAGCAATGCGCTGGGATATTTAGCCAGGCATGTGTGCTTATTGTGCGAGTCACACGAAATGTGTGTCAACTTGGTGGATGAATGTGGCTGGTGTGCTGGGTGAACATTGGTCCCAGATCGCTCGGGTTTTTCAATATACTTAATGCTTTATTCTGCCAAATACTTAAGACCTAAATTTAATGTACTTTGAAACTAATGAAGGCTTTACATTTTCAACCGCATACGTGTAGATGCCGAACCTTTGCTTTATTCCCAAAAGTATGCAACCCAATATACATGTTCGATTCGCGAAGAGCGAATGTTTAATGAGCTAAATTCGAATACTGCTTGCGAATACTTGACAGACACTAAACTAACTTATCATAACACCCAAACATATATTAGGTATGCGTTATTAGCTGCTGCCTCTTGTTTACTGCAGCGCCCACGGGTTGCAGCTCCTTGTCCCGCGTGACCAGGCAACATGTGCCGAGGCCGCCCAGGATGACCAGGAGACAGAAGGCGGACAGGGAGAGGGCGGGGCTGAGCTGCCTGAGCAGCGTGAGGAAAGAGGCGGAGAGCTGCCACACCCTCGCCCACGTGACTGCGGAGAAGGAGAGGCAACTACGCTGCTCCAGTGGCACCAGTTCGCCCAGGCAGGCCATGATCATGGACTGGGCGCAGGCCACGGCCGCCTGGGGAAGCGAGGCCATCAGGAGTCCCAGCGTGAGTCCGTAGACCTCGGGCATATCGCCCGCGGCCAGGAACCAACAGATGCTACCGATGCAGCCGACCACAATGGCAAATCCTCCGGCCCACTGCCACTTGCGTTCACCTTGGTTGAAGGTCAGGTGTAGAGCCAGGAAGCAGCCCAGCATCTCGGCCAGGCCCATGGCCAGTGTGTTGGACGCCAGGTGCGTCCTGCCAAAGGACCGCACATGGAGCAGCAGCCCAGTGTTGACCACCATGAAGGTGGCCAGTGCCATGTGCACAGCCACCAAGCGGAAAGTACTCCTGCGCTGCCCCATCCACAAGTGCATCCAATGCGCTGCGGGCATGGGCTCCAGCAGATTTTCCCTCAGCAGCTCCAGCGCCTGTGGTAACTGCTTGGACACCTTGTGCATTCTTCCATTGGTACGGGCTGCCTCCAGCAGGATTCCCACCGTTCGCTCGATGGCCAGTTGCGCCTCTTTGGTGTGCTGCAGCTGCCAGCGCGGTGAGTCCGGAGTCCAGGGCAGCAGGAAGACAATCACCAGCAAGGAGAGCGTCACACCCAAATATATGTGCTGCCAGCTGGGCGCACCGGAGGCCAGGCCAGGGAGCAGGATCAAGCCCAGAGCCCAGAAGCAGTCGTACAGCAGAAGGGCTCCAACGCGGTATTTGCCCGCCGTTATGTCACTAACTGGAAAGCAGGTGATTTAATGTTTAAATATTCTTAGATATTACATGTTACTCACATATATAATGCCCGGAGGTGATCATAAAGCAGCATGAAACCGCGGCCAAGCATCGGAGTCCGCAGTGCAGACTGAAGTCCTTGACTAGACCCATCAGCAGACTGCACACGAGGAGGCACCAGATGCCAGTTGCATAAATCTGTCGGGGACTCAGGACGCGCATCAACTTGGTGGCCGCCACTCCACCGACTAGAAGGCCGAAGAGGTGCCAGTACTGCGACCAGGCCACGAAGAAGTCGCAGAGGCACACCAAATCGAACTCCATGGTCAGGGAGTGGAAGCCCGTGGTGTAGAGGAACCTTCGACACTGGCGCATCGCGTAGCCGGACTCTCCGTAGTTTACCACCACATAGCAGTGGTCCAGCGAGACGGTGGAGTTAGCCGCCGGGCCGAAGGCCCTCGTATCACACTTGTACTCCTCCTCCGGGTACAGATCCGGCGCTGTGAACAGGATGCAGGCCATGAACCAGGCGGCGGGAATCTTGCAGAGGAACAGGATGAGCAGGGAGCGCAGCTGCCAAGGCCCGAAGTCCCCCAGGATGTGCGTGATCACATCGTCTTCATTGTCCTCTACTGTTTTGCTTGATTTGGGGGGAGCAGTTTGAGGAGATACCTCGTTGGCCCTCGGATCGCTGCAGGTGAGGCTGTGCGCCATGTGGCCCAAGTCCAAAGGAGCGGGTAAGGGTCGGCGTATATTAGGCATCCGGCCTTGGCAAAGATTCTCCTCCTTCATCCTTCGCTAGCGGCGGAATTTAGTTACCACGTCTGGGGAGTGCCGACCCTCCAGCATGACTGCGACTCCGCTTAGCACCTCACCTGGGCTGGTAAACTCGAGGGCTCCGGTTTGCGGTGCCTGCCTACGACGTCGTCGCTAATCAAATCATTCCAAATAAGCGGAGCAACGTTCCTAACCGATTGTGCAAACATTTCGGCCGACGAGCTGCGGTCTATTTTCGCGGTGATCTTTCGAGCTTATGGGAGGATCTTGCCGGGGAATCCGATCGCTGTGCCGGGTAATCGACATGATTGAAGCTAATGAGTTGGACAGGTAAACAACATTGGAATTCCAGCTTATCCAACTTACTGTTGGAAGACATAGTTATTGCCGCTTTTAATATGTCAATACCTTTCAAATTATGTGTAGTATTGCCGGATACGAGCTCTGTAGCGCTTTGTACATAGCCGCGAAATTCAAAAGACAAAAGGCGGAAGGGAGATATTTGCCAACCTATTATTTGCTTAGGAAAATATTGTCTTGCAGACCTATAATTCCCAACTAGTTCTAGCGAGGACTGTAAGACATGTCTTCTAATTTGGAGTCACAAAATTTTGCAAGTAATCTCTCTTTCCGGTCGAGCAGTGAGTGTAGTGTATGTGTAGTGTATGTACCGGTGTGTGTACCGATGTATGTATGTATGTATGTATGTATGTATGTATGTATGTATGTATGTATGTATGTATGTATGTATGTATGTATGTATGTATGTATGTATGTATGTATGTATGTATGCATGTATGTATGTATGTATGTATGCATGTATGTATGTATGTACATATGTATGTATGTACTGTATGTGTTACTTGCACAAAGTAGTAAAAATTGTCTTAATTAAAGCCAAATAACCGGGCAAATGTTATGCATACAAGTGTTTGAAATGTTATAATATTTATTTTAAAATATTTATTCATAAAAGATATTTAAAATACAATATAAAATTCTTGTTAAGAAATTGATTACCCTACACTGAAAGAGATATATATTTTTATGCTTATTCGTATACAAAGTGATACTAGATTAATCTCGAGCTGTAAGTAATTAAATTACTACTCTATTTTGTCATAATTATATTAGTGAGTGAGATATTGAGGTCTTTAAGGTGAGTAGCTTTTAATATGAAAACAGCTATATATGCGAGCGTGAATATAAATATATTAACAGGGGCGCATATTAAAATCATGTCCACTTTATTCGATACGGATAAACTATAATTGATTAGATGGACAACAACTTGAAAAACAAAATTTGGCAAAAATGCAATGATTACAAAAAATAAAAGAAGAAGGACTATTGGTTGACCTTTCTTGGCTCCGTCTGGCTTCATATATATATTTTTTAATTAGTGTTATTTAAAATTTGTTATAATAGATTTTTGCTTTTCTCCAGTTTTCAAGTTCATGGCTTTATTGAAACTAAATTATTGACAGTACGTATATGATTGTTTAAGATGCATTGTTTATTTAATATAATTCAGCAGTGGAATGTGGCCTATAATTCTTAGCCAAAGGTATGGGTTCCCACTTCTTTTCTAGAATGATCATGAACCAGGGCCTAGCGTTGTCCACATCCTCATCGGATTATGATGCAACATGTTTGTGCTCAAATGTTACGTCTGAGTTGCTACATTCGTTGGTCAACTGCAGTTTCCACTTGCATTTTCGCGGAAAACTTGTTTCAGGAGGACCAAGGCATTTCTCTTGCCCAGCCAGTTAGGCGTTGAAAGTGGGTACCCCATCGGATCAGTAGCGATCGTGCCGTCAAAGTGGCCACACCATGGACAACGCCAAAGTGAATACAGTGGAGCACCAGCCGGATGTTTACCAGGATGCTGTGGTCTTTATAACGGGTAATATTGGAGGCGATCCACAAAAGCGACTGTACAAAGTGTTAAACTTTATTAGGAGCAACTGGCTTTGTGGGAAAATCGCTGCTGGAGAAGCTGCTCTGGAGTTTTCCGCAGATCAAGCGCATCTACATGCTCATCCGACCAAAGGGCGGGGTTACGGTGGAGGAACGATTTCGGGGATTCCTTCAGAATCCCATCTTCGAACGCCTGAAATCGGAGCAGCCAACGCAACTGAAGAAAATCTTTCACTTCTCTGGCAACATTGAAGACGACAACTTCGGTATGGCTTTTCAGAGAAACTGCAAATGAAAACTCATGACTTCACCTGAAACTTCGCCTTCCACCAACAGGTTTAAATGAGTTGGACAGATCGGTTTTGTGTGCCGAGGTCAACATTATTTTCCACAGTGCAGCCACAGTGAGTCCGAGGCGCATTCCCGAAGATTTTTCCACTGACTGAAGTATTCAAATTCCAGGTACGATTCAATGAGTGTCTAAAGGTGTCGGCTCGAGTCAATTCGCAGGCCACCTACAATCTTCTAGAGCTCTGCAGGCAGATGCCCCATCTGAGGGTAAGCAGCTCCACTCCGTTGACTGTGTCTTACCAACTATATAATAACCTAAATCTCCAGAGCTTTCTGTACGTTTCGACGGCCTACTGCAATCCGGGACGCAAGTATGTGGACGAGCAAGTGTACCCCACCATGCCGCCGGTGGATTGGCGACAGTTTCTGACCGCCACCCAGAAAATACCCGACGACTATCTGAACCGCCTGGCCGATTATATAAAGGGTCCGCATGTCAACACCTACACCTTCACCAAATCCATTGCCGAGCAGATCGTTAATGCATACAAGGATGTGATTCCCATAGTGATAGTGAGGCCATCAATAGTCACGGCTGCGCATAGAGAGCCCTATCCCGGATGGATCGACAATATCCAGGCCATCAGCGGGATTATGATGGAAATTGGGAAGGGCGGCATCAGCAGCATCCTGGGGGATAAGGATCTCATATGTGACATCATCCCAGTGGACTTTGTGGTCAATGCCATGATCATGATGGTCGGCAGGGCCAAATTGGGAAGGTAACTGGAAATGGTCTACTCATTTATAGTGCACTCATTTATTTCGCATGCCCATATTCCACAGCTTGAGCATCTGTAACGCCACTTCGGGAGTGACCAATCCCATCACCTGGCAGCATATTGGAGAACTCACAATGAAGTGGTCTAGAATCTATCCCACCCGGCGGATGATTATGTTCCCAAACTTCAAGTATAGGTGCAGTGCTTTCAAGCATGAGTTGGCCGTGTGGGTTCTTCACTTTGTGCCCGCCTTGCTAATGGATCTGCAAACCCTGCTCTGGGCCCAAAAGCGGCGACTGGTTACACCCATTGCCAAGAAATTCCGGCAGGCTTGTCTAGCAGGTAACCTTGTCTAGCAGGTTCCTTGAATAAGCGAAATCATTCAGTGGATTGATTACAGGTAGCTTTTTTTCGCTGAACGAGTGGATCTTCAAGAACAAGAGTCGCTTCCATTTCAAGGAAATGATTGAAACCGGTACCTATCCAACTCTGTATTGGAATCTGGAGGAGCTGGACTACGATGAGTATGTGCGGCGTCACATGATTGGGATCAACAAGTACCTGCACCGCGAGAAGTTCTCCGTTGACTCCAACAAGTTTATGGTGACCAGGTGAGTCGTTTGTTCATCGCTTCTGTCTTTGCATTCAGATCAGGCTGTGTTTTTTTCTGAAATTCTCTGATACAAGAAACACTTTGAAAATTTTCTACATGCCATGTATTTTATTTGTAATATATATTATACTTTTTACAGGATTTATTGGTTCTGGATATTCCTGCATTTGATTTTCTACATGATGCTTGTCTATATAATATTTTAGTCAAGTATATTTTGAGTTTTTAGCGTAAAAGTAACATACAAAAGTACATATTTTAAATATTTATTTATAATTTAAGTTCCAGTCGCTATGATTCTCCTTTATGCATTTAGATGTCTTTTGAGCATGAGTTTCTTGTTAATGGTGCAAAGCCGTTTATACCCATCAAAAAACTATTTTAGAACTTTACTTGTCATTGTACAAATCGTTCCCTGACTGGTGACTTCTCCGACACCCACAAAAACAAAGTATACACCATGGGCTGTGCATAATCCGTTCTTGTGGGAGTCGTGGAAGGCACCCGCCTAGGAAACGATTTGTACAATGAGGTGATCGAGGACTATGCCCTGGCCATTTCACCAAATGTTCCGTGATGACTCGAATTATATTCTTGCTTATTCCCGCTGTAAAGTCGCCAGCGAACTCCAATTTCTTTGGTTCCAAATTAAGTCTTTAACAAAAATTCTTATAAGCTCGCGGTGCAAGAAAAACCATCCCGGAATTCTTACGAAATTCGATGAGTACATCTTGCTGTGGACCTCCTCAGTTCCAACTCTTAGTCTGCAAATAAAATTCTTGTAAGCTCGTAGTAAAGGAACGGACCATCGTGGAATTCTTACAAATTTTTAGGAGTACGTCCAGCAAACCAGAAGGGCTAACTATCATTTTAGCCATTGTCACTGTCAAATTAGAGACTCGTTTTCCTTGTCTAACGAACTGCAGCCCTCGAACAAAATTCAGGCCAAGATGTTAGCATAGTAGTTGGAGTGGGTATTGATGACCGACTCAATGAGAAGGCCACTATTATATTACACCATAAAGGTTTTATTACTGGAATTTGGAATAAATGACTTAAAGCTAGAGATGTAAAATATGGATGATTTTGATGGTGTTATAAAATTGATACAGCGGCAAATATATATATGTTACGATTCAACACAAACAATTGAGAGCACAATACCAACTTTGTGGCGCCGTTAAAATTTTATTAAATATCTGTTAAAGTATATATCGAAGGAATAACCAAATAGTATCAACTTTTTTACGTCAAAAATGGCAGCGCGAAATTGCTCGACTTTATTTGTAATTCTTTTGATTAGAGTTCTTTGACTATAATCCTTTATATTCGTTTGACTTTGATGACAATACGTTTGCACTCATTTACGAATTTTTCTTCAGCTATAAATTTAAGAGTCATAATTGTATGCCCTAATTAATAAAAATTTGGTTCGTTTTTATTTCACTCACCACTTGCCTGAACCTCCATCGATGAAAGGCGAGGCGATTTATTTCAGCTAAGGGGAGGAGTTTAGAAGAAACGCGGGAATTTGGCGACCAAACAATCACGGAAATTAGCTAGTCCTCTGTAAAGCAAAAAAGTACAAAGTATGTACCAGCAAAAGTATCTAACAGCTAGTTTCTAGCAACACAGATCCAGACGTAGCGAAAAGTTCGGGTGCATCCGCAACACATGTTTCAGCAACACGATGGTTGGTAGGCAACATGCTGCGGGCTTAGTTTGCTCCGGAAAATCGGTGACTGTGTGGGGCAGTGGCATTAATTCGCGCCTATCCTGACCAGAATGGCTGAGTGGTGGAATCCCGGCTTGGAGGCATCCGGTGAGGGAATATGACGATAAAAATCCAGAAATTTTAGGAGCTGTGTGGTGCAAATTGCATGTCAAGTTAATGGATGTGAATATCGCGTCAGGCTTTGGTGCGTGGTGCATGGTGCGGCTTGCAGCGAACACAGCTATCACTTCACGTAAGTTGTTGTTTAGGGGCTTTTGGTAGGAGAGCGACTTGGAGTGCAAAAGGTGGAAAGAGCCTAACAAGCAAGGCTACCGCCACTATCTTCGACGTACATTGGAAAAAAATCGGTCCTTTTAAGTACCAGCAAAGATAATACGCGGAGATAATGCAAACGCGAATCTTCTTGCGTAGCAAAGCGGATAGAAGTTGATGGAAAATCTCTTTGCGACACCAGCGGCATTTCACTTTTGGGGCCTTTAAATCTTTGTCATCACAGCAGCAGCTCGGAAGCGCTTTCCATCCATCAGTATGGATGCAGCCACTTCAAAGTCAGAAAAAGAACAAAAAAAAAAAAAAAACAGAGAAAACTTGATAGTTGCTACTGTTACTGTCACCCAATCCGATAATCGCCACCTTTCCCTTTTTAAAGCGACCCCTAGATGGCGCCACCCAAGACTACTCGAAACGGTAGACTCAGATACTTTATTTCCTTGGTGCAAGCGCTACATTTGCCTTAAACGTCACTTGTTTCGTGTAGTATAGTAATAACTGTTGGAATTCCCGAATACTAGAGAAAATAAATATGGAATCGCCCATGCCCAAAACCGAAGACCACACGAAAATACCCTCGGCCATCGAACTGACGAAGGACATTGAGGACAAGAAGAAGGAACAGAAGAGCATCGATGGGAAGGACACGATGAGTCAGATGGAAATGATGCGCCTCCTTGGCTTGCGATCAAATTCTGAGGAATCCGCTGCGCTGAGCTGCGCAAAAGACGGAGGATATCTTTTAGTGTAGACGTTAAAGCGTAATAAATGCAGAATTTGAAAAATATTTACAAAATGCAGAACCATAAAATATTTAAAATATTATGCAGTAATATACTCGTGTCAAGTTTTTATTATTGCCAAATGAACTGCTTACTATGATTGCAGAATAGCACTATAGCAAACATGGGTTAAGTAACAAGATATGTATGATAAGACAAATTTATTTGTGGTTCCACCAACAAATATTCTTTAGTAAAACTTCAAGCATTTAAAATAACAATTCACTTAACCTAATCACAGAAGAATGTTTTTTCACCAGCTGACTAATACAAAGACTATTGATTGGCAAAAATAGGCTGTCGTCTTGGGCTACAATCGAGTATTGTTCACATCGGACTCGACGGTCCACACGGGGGCGTTCAAAGGGGACTGCTCCTTCTTGCTGCTCGGCTCCAAATGGGGCACAGCCGGAGACACACTTGTTCTGGGCGTGAGGAGCAGGCTGGTGCAGATTCCGCCCAAGATACTGAATACACAATACGAAGTCAGCGACATGGCCGTGTCAATCTTCTTTAGGACGTTGAAAAACGGAGCTGAGAGGAGCCACACCCGTGCCCAGGTGACCACGGAGAAGACGAAGAGCTGCTTCTTGTTCGCCGGCACCAGTTCGTTCATGCAGGCCAGGATCATCGACTGGGCACAGGAAACAGCCGCCTTGGGAATGGTGGCGATGATCATCCAGAGGCTCACTTTTAGCTCAGCGTCCACTGAAGAATAGTCATATTCCGTGTATTTCATTCATGAAGTTATAAGTCCTAACTTACTTGAGTCCGCATTGCTGAAGATCCAGCCCATGCAGCCCAGGATTCCAGCTAATATATTGAACACCCCTGCACACTGCCATTTCCACTTGTTGTGCTTGAGTGTAAAGTGGAGCGCCAGGAAGCAGCCAAAGATTTCAGAAAATCCTGCAGGGAGAATAGTTCATATAAAATAGGTTTTAGAAAGGATATTAACTATCATAATCATCTCATTTTGCAGGCAAAAGTTTTAGTGAATTCTTATCGTTTTGCTACTAGATTGATCTAAATACTTAGACGAAGTAATGATTGTGTTGGTATCTAAAAGTAATCAGTTAATCCCATTTAACACAAGTGCATTCAGCTGGGAACGCCCAACTCACCCATGGCAATAGTGTTCGGTACCAGGTAGTCTCTTCCAAACGATCTTATGTTGAGCAGCATGCCCATGAAGTTGATGACGAAGAAGGCCAGTGCCAAGTGGGCAGCTACCATGTGCGTCTTGGCCCGCTTTCCCTTCCACAACTCCTTCCAAGGAGCTGGTGGGGGCTGAGCCTTCAAGCGCTCGCTTAGCTGCTCCAGCTGCATCCGGAAATCCGGAGGGATCTTAAACGTGCGATCGTTGATCGCCGCTCCCTCACGCACGATCTGCTCCACATTGTCGATGGAGAAGCGATCCACGGCGTGCCGGAGCAGCCAGCGCGGAGAATCCGGGGTCCAGTAGAGCAGCAGGATCAGCATGACAGTGGGAAATGTAATGCCCACATAGATCAGGGACCAGCTGTTGAAGAATGAGGAAAGCCCTGGCAAGAGGATCACGCCAATGGACCAGAAAGTGTCGTACAGGATAATGGCACCAATTCGATGCATGCCCGCCGTGATGTCGGCAACTGGAAGATTGGATTTCTTTATAAATATTTATACTGAATATTCGCAATTGTACCTATAAATTCACTTACATATTGCCTGACCAGCTGTGAACATGATCGCGCAACAGACGGCGGAGAGGCAGCGGAAGGCGCAGTGGAGACTGAAATCCCTTGCGTATCCAGTGACTACTCCACACAAAATCTGGGCTACAGCGCCCACGCAATAGGTGCTCCTCGGGCTGATTCCCAGCATCATCTTGGTGCCCACAACGCCACCTACAAGCACTCCGAACAGATGCCAGTACTGAGTCCAGGCCACGAAGATGTCCCTGAAGCAGACCAGATTGAATTGCATGATCAGGGAGTCGAAACTGGACACGTAGGCGAACTGCTCGCACTCGGAGCTGGTGCCAGTGGACTCGTCCGTGATGTAGCACTGGTCATCCGAAACACTGAAGCTGGAGTTGCTGCTAGTCAAGTAAGTGGTGTCGCAGGTGAACTCCGAGCCGGGATAGAGTTCCGGTCCGGTGAAGATGATGCAGGCCATGAACCAGGCGGCGGGGATTTTGCACAGGAAGATGATGAGAATGGTTCTCAGCTGCCAGATGCCAAAGTCGCCCACAACATCGGCGATGACGTCGCTGCTCGCAGGGGCTGGAGGTGGCGTGGCCATCCTCTTGTCCAGGTCATGCTCCATGTCATTGGGGAGGATGTGGGGGGCAGTGGATTCTCCAGCTCGGTCGGGCGACGGATTGACCATGGCTCCTACTTAGTGAAACATTCTGCAAACGATGAGATTGGCATATTTGATGATTTTCCATTTATTTATTTGCCTTATTTCTTTCATTTCAATACCCCTTCCAACCCAATTGATGTAAATTGAAAGCGGTTTACTGATGAAATCAGTCGGACAAGGCATTGAATATCACGAGAGATTGTTGAAATATCTGCGGTTACTTTTCGTTTGACTGACTTTCAGTGTTACATAGACAAGTAAATGCCATGAATAAACACCCTGGCATAATTCATAGATTAAACTTTCCTAAAACACTATAATTGAAACACCTAAGTATCTGCTTATGCGCTCATTTCCAAACCTCACATATTTAACAAGATCATTTTTTATTTCCATCAACTGTGTAATCTCGTTTAATTGCACTCATAAATAAATTAGCTAAGCTCTTGATTTGCTTTAACCAGTTCGAAGTTCTCGTTTGCTTTATTCTTTCTCTATATCATATATCAAATCACGGGTCTTATCGATAAGCCAGAAAAGATAATGATCCATTTCGCGACCTTATCTGTACGATAGCCCTTATTTGCCGACGGCACACAGGGCGAAAGATTTGCAGCTTTAGGATTTAGTTGTTAATTCGCGTCAGATTCGCTTTGTTGGATGTCTGTATGGACAGACTCTTTATGCTTCAGTTTCACAGGTGCTAATTCGCGATTGTCTGGCGCACAATTGGTTCCACCTCCAGTCTGTCCACCTATTGGTAGCGCAAATATTTTAATTTATAATTTTCCAGGCAGTGCTAATTGCAGAAAACTGGTCGTGCCGGTGCTAGCTGTTCGAATTTCCCATTGGGCATTTCACATTCATCCGGGCATTGACAGTGGAGGTAGGTCTTTCTATCCGAACGACTGGTTTCGATTCGAGCCCAAATGCAAATTAATAATGGAAAACTGAGCCACTGGAGGGGCGTTACTCGTTTCAAATTAATGGAGTGCTCGACTTTTTGACAAGATGATTAGTGCACTGAGTATGAGTTAAGTCTATAATGCACTTTCCGTGGTAATCAATAAATTTTCCTATTTAAAAAAGGAATGTTTAGCTCAAGCGACCACAATATCACTTTTTGTTTTATCGAGGGCTCGATCGCAAACACTCACAAATATTTTCGAATGCAATTTATTTCTCGCGAGAACTCTTCGCAGTTAGTTCGTTTGATTTCATACAAATAAATTTAAACTAATTAAGCGACAATAAAAATTATGCACGCGGCTCGGACTTCTGCGGCTCCCAGCTCGAAAAAGGCAGCTTTCCGATTCGCACGTCCCGAGCGATTTTCTTATTGGATTCTTGGAGCACACGCGTCCCAATCGGCCGAGAATCAAATGGCAACTGACGCCAATGTCGCATTGGGAGCTATAGACAGGGAGTGAGCCGCTGGCTGTCCACGCGGAAACTCGAGGCGTTAATTTACTTAATGAATTTGCTCAAATAATAAAAAGTTATTGAACGGGTTGGTTTTTCGAGCATTTCTCTGTAGTTTTTCTATTGCTTTTCTATGTTTTATAAAGATTTGGCCCAGCCGGATTTTAGTTGAGTTAATGAGACACTTTTTCTTTGTTTGCCCCTTAAACATTTAATTTTATTGAATAGCTGACGGATCGATAAGGTGTCTGTCAACGCTCTTTATGTTATTAGTTTGAGTTTACCCCTCCGAGTGTATAATGCACTCAGGTGAGGAGCGGAGTGTCCATGGGAGCCATAACATTATTACTTTACGTTATCGGCGATTGCCATTCGGGCTTGTACAAATTCTGCATCGCCTTCCTTGCGGATTTCTATTTTAATCTTTATTGTCTAGGTCGCTTTTTTTAGCGCTCCTAGTGACACATCGAGTGTAGTGCTCTTCATTAACCTACATTAATATCGAGCTGTAGATTAATACCTATAATTCAACTTAAAATGTTCCTTCTAGGATCTGCATCACTTTTAAGTATCGGCAATTTGTCATTTAAATCAGTTCAGTTTGGTGTAATTTGTTGCTCATTGCTAGCTAATTAAGACCTTTTTGGAGACTCTAAACTGAGGGAAAAAATAATTCAATTAGCAATATATGGCGTGAAATGATTGAATTTGGTGTGATACCGGTTACGTTTAACTTAGGCAAGCCTTTAATTTGTGGCGAAATTCGATAAGCATAGGTTTTTGATCTTATTGTATAATATATTTAAAATTGAGTGTGTTTACCATCACGAAAATTGTCTACATCGGTCACAATGATAGTCCAAAATGTAATAATTAACGGATAATGTTACATTTATTGTTATAATCAGCAATTGATTGAGTGTACACCTAATAACTTAATATCTTTAAGTCGAACAAAGCCTACTTTCGGGCTCCGCAAAAGCTCTTCAAATGGTTTCCGAGCTGTGCGCTCTGTGAGCTTCCTGACCATTCAGGTCCACTTCCAGCTCGATCTCACTGGCGGGATGGAAATTGATGTGCCATATGTCGGCTATGCTCACTGCCATGTTCCGCTCAAAGTTGCTGAGGAGCTCATTGCTGTAGGCACTGCAATCCGAGCTCACAGTGCTGCAGCGGCGCAGGATGATGGCCGACTGGCGACGATAGGTGTTGGGCGTGGGTACCTGGCTGATCTGCGGCTGCTCCGTGTTCCAGTAATAGCGGTTAAGGCGGCGCAGGGCCAAGCCGTAGACCCAGCCCATGGTGGCCAGGATGGTGATGGGGACCAGGTGGTGGATGACAGTGAGACAGCTCAGGAAAGGGCAGAAGAGCAGGCACACCCGGCTAAATGAGATCACAGAAAGCATAAGGATCACCCGCTTCTCCTGGGACACAATTTCACTGGTGCAAGTGGTCAGCACTGCAATCGAGGCGGAGTTGGCTATCTTTAAAATGAGCCAGAATACCAGTTCCAGTCCCACACGGCGCGAATTGCGTTCTATAAGAAGAATATCCATTTAGAAATTTAGAAAGTCGATATCCATAACAGTGCTCACCAGTTTCCGGCAGCAACCAAATCAGATAGGTGCTGAGACCAGCTATAATCATCAGATTTCCCGCCCACCGCCAATGACGACGCGTGTACAGGATCAGGTAGAGACCAACAAAAAGGCCCACCATCTCAGCAAATCCCATGGCCGCTGTGTTCACATGCACCTGTTGGGCGCCCAGGTTTCGAATCATCAACAGAATGATGTTATACAGCACCATTGCACCGCCCCAGATCAAGTGGATGTACACGAGCTGGCTGCGTTTCGTCTCGCCATCCCAGACTTGGCAGTAGCTGTGCTTCTGTTTGGATTTCTGGTCCAGGTCGTTGGCGTACATCGTGAGCTGAACATCAAGGGTAAGTGGAACCTTCCGGTTATTGTATGTGGCCGATTCCAGCAGCTGACGCAGGGCGGCCTCCACCCGCTGGTGCTGTAGCAGCCAGCGAGGAGCATCCGCTATCCAACGATGCAGCCACACAAGCACAATGAGCGAGGACGAGATAGCCACGTACAGGTAGCTCCAGTTGTCGAAGTATATCGATATGGCAGGCAGCAAGACGAGACCCATGGACCAGAAGAGCTCCGACAAAGTGACCACTATGATGCGGGCCTTACCCGAGGTGATGTCGTTCACTAAAAAGTGGAAGCGCGTTAGTTCGTGTCTTGAGTCTTTTGATTTGCATAGATGGGACCATATTTCCCTTATCAAATTAAGATTTGTTATCTGAGTTAAAATGCAATTTGCATACTTACAAATAAATTGCCCGGAGGTGTACATGAGAGCACAAAATATGGAAGTGAGGCAGCGGAAGTAGATGTGCAACTGATAGGTGTCCACTAAGCCGGTGAGATTACCGCAAAATATTTGCCCAATCATGCCCAGCAACATCAAGCGACGCGGACTGATTCTGGAGTATAAAAAACCCGAGTTGTCACACTGATATATTATAAATATTTTGAGCAAATACATACTTCTTGAGAGCAGAATAGGCCATGAGTCCGCCGATCAGGGAACCAAGTGCATGAAAAGATTGCGTCAGAGCCACTAGAACGCGACGGGAGCAGATTAAATCGAACTGACTGATCAACGACTTGTAGTCAGTTCGGTGCTCCACGTGCTCGCAGGGCAGCGAAGGTTGGCCACCTGGCTCCTTCGACTCCGAGGCGTTCCACTCCTGGCCATGACTACGCACGAACCCTCGGGCCAGCGAATTGGAATAGGCATTGCACACGTCCACATTGAAGAGTCGATCCGTGCTGCGTGCATCCTGCCAAAGAGGATGGTTCCGGTCAACGTGCTCCGCCTGCGACCGGCTAACATTCCAATTGGCCGGGTGGCAGACGAGTTCCCCCTTCCAGGGATATGGCGCCGTGTAGATGATGATGGCCGTGAACCAGGCGCTGGGAATCTTGCAGAGGAATATCAGCAGGATGGTGCGCAGCTGCCAGCGGCCAAAGCTGCCGTTGACCTGCTCCACCACGTCCAGTTCTGGAGAGGACTTCCTCGAAAAGCTACCCGTCGACTGCGAATCCGGCATATCTGTGCTAACCGATCAAGCTTACGCCTTGCCTTACGTACGCGTACTGAGTTTGCTAATTTTTCATCGATCCCATGGACTTGGAATGACGGGAGGGAAAATTATGTTTGCTCTTCCGTTTAGTTGTACCCTCAAATTGGTGCAAATTGGTCGGAGATTTTGCGCTCCGTCTGGGTGATGTCTTATTATTAGGTTTGTTTTCTCCACGTTTATAACATCTATGACGTAGGGGGGTTGAAAAATGAGGAAGCTCTATTTAGAGCCCAATAAAGATTTATTGTCTCTAAAACGGAGAAATAAATTTTCCATTATTGCTCGGAGCATGGTGCCATGGTACTAATTAGATTCAGTAATTTTGTAAATTTGATTTGTCAACAAAGATTTGCTTCATCTATATTTGGACCAGTAGAAAGCTCCGCGAGTCGACAAATATTTATATTTCTAGGCAAACGATACAAATGCTTGCAATAAGAATATTCGTAAAACAAATACAAATAACTTTTAAACATTACGTTTTTAAATTCACGTCGCCCCTCAAAGAACACAACCTCTTCAATAATTTACAGCAGCACCTAAAAGAAGGCAACACAAATAGTTTGTATAATATTTATACATTTTAATGCATTTAATGGCCATTCGACTCGACTTTCACTCACCAAAATGTTGATGCCCAGGCAGGCAAGTAATTATTAAAGGCAGTTTTTATATTCAATAATAATCATCTTTTATTATATTTTGCAGCTTGTATTTCTTTTTTCATATTATTCCCGTGTATGCTTGCGTCCTACAAAATTGTTTGTTTCCCAAAGTCATGAAATCGTAAATAATATTGCATTCTTTTATACCAGCTATAAAAAATGGCCTATGCGTGTGACCCATAGATTATAATGCCATTAATCAATACTTGAAATATTTTACATTACTTCTGTTATGGGAAATGCTCTATAATGTATTAGGCAAGTGGCTTTGTGTGCATTCGTTGGATTTGTTTGATCAATTTTGCTTTTTCGATTTTGGTTTCAATATCCAATTAATTATTGTCTGAAATAATGATGTCAGCTAACCAATCTACATATGTTCACTTTAACTGGCGAAAACAATAGGTGGAAAAATACGAGACTAATGGCATTTCATTGCTCTTAATTCATTTGCTTTCGTTTAACTTTATTCTGCAGTATTTACAGTGATGTCTAGTAGTAAAATAAAATAAATGCGTTGTTGGATCGAAAACATTTTCCAAGCACTATGCTCTTAGACTAAGTGTGGATTTGGCTTTGCAGAGACTTGGCGTAACAATAAACGAAAAGCTACGCATTACAAATTAATTAATCTAATTTATGGCGATGTAGTGTGGGTGCGTTGTGAAGGTGAAAAGTGTATTCGAGTGGGCTCGCACCTCACAATGTCGGGAAGGGGAACTCGCGTTTAAAAAATACACATTTTATGCAAAGTATTTACATTTTCCAAGTTTCCGAGTTTCGGGGTGCGCCTTAAGCAGGGAGTAAAGTTATGGTCATAGATGGTATAGTTTAGCTTACTTTAGGTTTAGAGATAATATGCGCTCTGAGATTTTGCTCGTTTGTCCTTTAGTTGTGTTACTTTTGAATGAAACAAGCCAAGTTCGCTAGCTGTTTTTTGTCTGCTTAATTAACATAATGCTTAATCGCTAGTTTAAAGTCCTTCGGTTGATTTTTATGCTGATGCTTCTGCGTATCGGTAACCTTAGTGACCACCCCCAATTTCGCCCCGCCCAGCTACATATTTATGAGTTGGTGTGTCCTACATCTAGTTTCTATTCGGTAATATTTGGTTTCGAGTTCAATGATCCGTGCTGAGCCCATCCTCCACGTTGCTGTCCCAGTTGAATTCCGTGACGCCCTGCTTGAAGTAGATGTTGCCCAGGTTGGCGTAGCGCTGCTCAAAGTTTGTGTCTTTGGCCTTCAGATGCTCGAAACTGAAAAGAAAAAATGCAAAATAAATTAATTTGAGCCATTGCAATATCTATTGCTAGTAAGTGAACAAAATTCGCAGGAGAAATGCAAATTGAAGGCGACTGCAATAAATAGCTACAAATTTTGCATTGTATGTCAGGTTTTCTTCAAAAAAGGTGTTGCTTAGCTCTGGAGTACTTGCTGATATTGACCTACCTATTGGGTAGGTAGGCGAAAACCCTAATCACCACTTCCCTGAACGCATACTCTACTTTCTTCGAGCATTTAGGACGGAACTTCGCTTTCCTTGGCAATAGTGCCACCCGACTCTGTGCATTGTTGCCCTCCAATCCCACAAAAGCTGCTTAATTTATTTCTGCGCAATAGAATGGTTTCTATATGCACCCCACCATAAAAAAGGGAACCTTCAATTGTTGATGCAGCTGCCCGAGGTACAGCTGTATACAGCTATGTGCACAATGAACAAATCCACGTCTTGGGCCAGTCTTCAGTTACCTTGCCCGGGGCATTGTGAGCACTGCAGAAAATGTCAAAGGTCACAGGCGGCCATTATGCGGCCCAAGACAAAGGGTCGCTTCGGATGCAGGCAGCCAGAGATTTTTACGGAGAAGGAACAGGGGCGGAAAAACAAAGAAGGTGAGGGAAAACCCCGTCCACGGGCTTAAGTCACAGTTAATGAAGCGAGCTTGCCACTACCAGTGGTTGCTGGTGCATGGGTATTTCCCCTCGTTTACAAGACGGTTGAGTTGAGCCACCCTTGAGGAGGAAGCGCAGGCGCAGCTGTTCCGATTCGCTCGAGGAACCGAGGAACCGAGGAACTGAGGAACCGTTCCCATCGAGCAACCATCGCGGATAAGGCGCTGCCAGGGACACGTGTGCGCAATCAGCGTCGCAAGAATCCAGCGGATTGCCTGGCCGAGCTCACCCCTTCGCTGTCTTCGACGAGACGAGGAGGTTCAGCCTGAGAAAATTCCAGCACATCGAAATCAAAACGAGTTCCATGGGGTTGGCTTGAAAAAGGTAAACAATCTCCTCATTCTATAGGTACAGGCTTTTTTAACGCTTATACAAGATATGATGTGGCTGGAAAAGGAAGTTTAGCTTTATAATGATGAAACTGTACACTGCTACATTTTGGCTCAGAATTTCTTTTATTTTTACAGATAATTTGACCATGGATGTATAAATTTGCTAGATGGATAAAGTAGTAGATACATAAAAATGTTTTGGTTACATTCAAGTATGAGTCCGTTTATATTAAAATCTTTAAGAAAGCTCATTGAAAAACCCGCTTTCTATAGGAAATGTCCATAAATTGGGTATTGAATAAGCTATTTTATATGAGATTTATTAAGTCCCATAAGCGAGCGCGAAACATATAAAACAAATGATTTGGTATTTAGTCGGAGTGTGCTCGAACGAGATTGGAGGAGCACCTCTGGCTGTGTTGTGCGCAACGTGTATTATATTTCGCATCGGATCTTAGCTAAGGTGTATAATTTATAATAGTACGATAGAGTAGTGGGTACACAGGAATAGCCTAGATGTTGCGTGCCTTGAGCACCTGCTTCTGGGGCGGACTGGGCACGTTCTCCTTGCCGGCGAAGAGGACGGTCTTCTTGGGAGTGCTGGCCGCCGAGCGAGGAGTTCGTGGGGTGTGGGGGGTGCGCGGACTGCGCGGGGTGTGCGGCGCCGCCTTGGGCGTGCGGGGGGCGGGACGGGGCGAGGACTTGCCGGCGGACAGGAGCTCGCTGATCTCGCTGGTGCTGTCCTGGCGCACGCACTTCTCCGAGGAGTTGAGCAGCCACGAGGTGATCTTCTCGCAGTCGGAACGCAGCTCGGAGTCGCAGAGCAGATCCTCGATCTTCTCCAGATCGGTGGTGTTCGAGCGGTTGGCCTTGCCAGGTGTTCCCAGCAGGGAGGTGGCTGCCGGCTGCTTGGACTTGAGGGCAATGTTCTCCAACTTGAGCTGCTCGCACTCCTCGCGCACCTTCACAAGCATTTGCTCCTTGTTGTCCAGCTCCAACTGGGCGAACTGCAGCACGGTGGCGAACTCATCCAGCGCCTTCTTCATGTCCACCATATAGGCCTCGCGTGTCTCGTCCTTGCGGCGCAGCTCGTGGTAGTGGGCCAGCTGGGCGTCGCCATCGATGCGCTCCTGGAACGAGTTTGCAATCTGATTGAATTTAGCCAACGTCTCCGCCTCGCCGGCGAGCAGCTCGTGGAGCAGGGACTCCTTCAACGATACCTCGCTCTGCAGCGTCTGGGAGGAGGATCTCAGTGCGTTGAGCGCATCCTGGCTGTCGGTCAGTTGCTGGCGCAGTTGCTCCGCGTCCGCCTGCAACACCAGATAGCTCTGCTCCAGCGCTCCCTTGGCCAGCTGCACCGACTCCAGCTCCGCGCGGTACTGCTCCACATCCGCGTCGGACTTCTTCAGACGCTCCATCAGTATGTTGACGGTGGCCCGGGTGTTGGTCAGAGTCAGCTGATAGTTGTACTTCTCGGTGATCGTCTTGGCCATGTCCTGCTTCAGCTGCACCAGCTGCTGCTGCAGTGCGTCGCTCAGCTGGATGTAGTAGTCAATGCCGTTGCGCAACTGCTCCTCGCACTTCTGCAGCTTCTCGTCGCGCATGCGCAGCATATCATTGGTGGTCTCCAGCAGCACCATCACGTCCTGCTTCTCCAGCTCGATCTTGATCAGCTCGTTCTCGGCCAGCTTCTGGCGCTTGTCCAGCTCGGCGCGCCAGTAGCTCTTCTCACGCTCCACGGCGCTCTCCAGGTCGTTCTCCACCTGCTGCTGCACCTTGGCCACCGCCTGCTGCTGCTCGCTGTGCCGCGCCTGTTCCCGGCACAGCTGGCGGATAGTGTCGCAGTGAGCATCGATCTCGCAGTTCTTGTCCAGGAGCTCGTCCTGCAGCGAGCGGATCAGCGTGCACTTGTTGGCCAAGTCGTTCTTCAGGGTGTTGCGCTCCACCTTCAGGCACTCCAGTTCCGCCTGGCAGCTCTTGGCCTCCTGTCCGTAGGACAGTGCGTCCTGTTCGATCTGCTGCTTCAGCTGCACCAGGTCGGCCAGCAGGGAGGCATTGCTCTTCTGGAGATTCTCGACCAGCTCAATGTTTTCGGCGGTCTTGGCCTGCTCCTGGCTGCAGTGCTCGCGGGCCTGAGCCACATCCGCCTGGAGGGCAGAGAGTTGTGCCTGCAACTGCTCCTCCACCTTTTGGCGCTCTTCATTCGCCGCCTGGAGCAGCTCGTTGGCCAGACGCAGTGCCTCGCTCTCGGCCACCAAGGCCTCCACTTGGCTTTCATGCTCCTCGCGCTGCTGCTGCAACTGCTGCTCCATGGCGGCCAAGCGCTCCAGGAGATCTGCGTGCTCCTGGCCCATCTGCTCGTTCAGAGCTTTGTGCGACAAATTCTCGGTGGTCAGGGCTTCGATGAGCTGATCCGTCTTGGTGGTGGCCAACTCATGCTCCTCGCGCAACTTGGCCTCGGCTTCCTTCAACTGCTCCACATGGCGGCGCAGCACATCCAGTTGGCTCAACTGGCTCTCGATCAGCTCGTTCTTGTGCCGGATCTCGTACTGCAGTGCCTCCTTGCCCTTTAGCCGGCTGGCGGACTTGGCCTCCTTCACGGGCGTGGTGGCTGCCGAATGCAGCGGAGTGGATGCCGCTGTTGAGGCGCCACTTCCGCTTCCGGTGGCCGCATCCGTGTGACTGGGAGTCGGACGGAAGCGCAGTCGCTGCGGCAACGAAGGAGTACGGAACAGGCGTAATCCCTTGGACTTCTTGTCCTCCTTGGGAATGGCGAATTCCTTGGCGTCCTTCGAGCTGGACGCGAAACGCACGGCGTCCTTGAAGAACTTTTCGATCTGCTCCTTGCGCTCCGGCTGAACGGTGGGCGGAGCAGCGGTGGGCGTGGCACTGCCCGCCGATCCCGCCGAGCTGTTGGACGCAGCTGGCGAACCGCAAATGGCCACATCCACGTCGTTGAAGCGCTTTAACTTGGCCTTGGAGAAAGACATTTTCGAACTTGTTTTCTGATTCGGCTTAACTTGGTTGCGATTCCTTTGGATTTTGTCTCAATGTCCCATTAACAACGCTCGTTTAACTTTCGAATAACAATAACTCAACGATCAAACATAAACACAACTTTAACTTTCGGCTTAATTATGTTCAACAATACGTAGTCCGTAGTCGTTTTAATTTTTCCGTATAATTTTTCTGTACTCTGTGGTCTGTTCTGTTCTACACTAAACCCGCTATCCCGTTGCTACCCGTTTCGTGTACCTACGCGTTCCGTTGTCAAAACCTAACTGAGCTCACCTTCTGTCCAAGATCCCCGAGGCAGACATCGCCTCCAGCTGGCGGGCGCGCGAGAGCGGGATGGGCGCAGTGTTCGAGCGAGACAGAGCCAGGGTCACAGAAAACTACCCTCGAGCAGGGTCGCTTCCACGATCCCGCGTAGCTTCGCCTGTGCGGCAGATACCCTGTAGTCAGGTTGGGTGTTTCAGGGAACTTAGAACGATAAATGTCCGTACGAGTATGTGGAAACTATGTGGAGCTGGCACCGAAAATACAGCCATGAAAAGAAGCTCTACGCAACTTTGTGCTCTGCAACATACTAATGTTAGTTCCAGAATAAGAATTCATTATTCTTGCAATATATTATTATCTTCCCGATAACTTGCATTTACAATTGCATTATAATACCCCAAAAATACTCCTTTAAGAGTATCTGGAATTCAGGTAGCCGAGCTCTTCTCTCATTTCTTGATTTGGTGGTGGTTCGTGCCACAGTTCTTGATCCCTGGTCGTCTTATCTGTGTGTTTGTCAAGACGTCTGCCCCGTGTGTGTGAGGAAATGTTTTCATTTCAGCGCGCGCAAATGTTGCAATTGCAGTTCAAGACAGCACGAGGAGGGTTCGAGATCTGATTGGGGTGGGAGATGGATAGGATCCGCATTCCGTGGCTCAAATACATATAGGAAATGAGGCGCAGAGACATACGCACTCACATCTGCCTGGGCTTCTCCTTCCCCTCGAGGACTTCTAGTGAGTAAATGCGATGGCTTTCGAGGATTGAGGACATGAGTTGATGGCCTTATCCGTAGCTCCAACCCAGCTGGCAGCCAGCATAATTTGTTAATTCGATACGAAATCCGATGCCCGCATAATTACAGGAAAATGCGTCGGAAATGGGCGAGTTGCGCCTGCGCAATGAGTTGCATGGAATTGAGGCGAATTGAATGGCTTGGAAAATGAGTTGATTTTTCACGTGATATTGCCAAGCAGTTGGCAATCGCCATCCTCAATCTGGATAGAGACCCTCATGATGTCCTGCTGGTCCTGCGGTAGCTGCCTGTGCATCCTGCCATTTTTCGGCTTCTTCCATCCAGTGAGTATGTCACATCAGCTGGTTGTTCATTCGATGGCAAACAATGGTCGGCGGACTCTAGCAACTGGGATAATTCCAGTGATAATTCCAGGTTAGAGCAGACGGGCATGGAATTATGGGTGGGTCAGCCACACACAGCTGTGCCCAAGACAAGAATTAAGGAATGGACATGAGGAAAGATGCTAGAGGGAGCCATAGATCAGGGCATATGATCTATGATATGATATGATTCTGTTGGAGATCAACAGAGTATCAAGACTCACTGAGTATTTTTTAATTGATATGGGTTCTTGATAACCTTTGTAGGTTCATACATTGCACGTTTGTACATATTCTAAGGTAACAGTTTCCCACATAATAATTAGCATTTTAAAAACATTTAGATTTGTTGAACAGTTTTATGATCTGTTGCCAAACTCCCCTCTAATAACAATGCAAGTTGTTCGAGAAAGGGGTTTCACAATTGGCTGATCCGATGATGTGCAGGACATATAAATGGTGTTAGTAACATTTACCCTGCGCGGCGACACCTTCGACATTATTTTCCCATGCCTGTCCATGCATAACTGCTATTCATTGAACGCGCTGTAAGGTGAGGCGGTCTAATGATGGTTCCATGGGATCCAGAACCAATGTCATCACAACTCAAAGTGAGTGCAACAAAGGACTGACTTGGCCCCTGATGATCCAAGGGATTTCGCACCCTCATGGCACACAAAACGCTACTAAAGGACGAGGACGAGGACGTGGAACAGAGTCATCGACCTTCGGGCGACGTCCCGACGATGCTTTGCAGGAGGGGCTCCAGGAAACCGGAGCCACGACTTTCGATCGGGTTTTCCCGACCAGATAAACCAGCTCCTACTGTAACTAGCGAGGGGCACACGGAAACAACATCACTAAAGCCATGTTCTATCGGCACATAAGCCAATTAAGCAGGGTGTTATAAATATCAATACATAGGTCGCGACCAGGACCAGGAAGAGATCTTGATTCCAGAGCGAGGGACTCACCGCTGAAAGAGCAATGTCTTGGCAAAGGCGTACAGCTCGATGTCCAGGCCGTTGAGCTTCTCGATGCGACGCTTTTGGTCCGGTCGCAGATTCTGGACAGCAGTGGCCGAGATTGTGGTGTTGTGCTGCTCGAAGGGAATGGCGAAACGCAGGTTGAAAGTCTCCTCGAAAATGTACTGGGACATCTGCAGGAAAACGGGCACTTACAATTACTCATTACAATGGGCACTCACAAACGAAACCCACCTTTTGATACTCAGTCAGTCCAAAGTAGGCCATGGCGGCCAGATTGCGCTTTGCGCTGGCCAGCATCACGCGATCCCGCTCGTGGGCGGGCATCGATGACTTGTTGTAGCAGCCGACGAGGGCGAGGTCGGCCAGCATGCGGGTCTGCCGGTTGGCCGCCAGATTGGACTCGCAGCCGGCGAACTGGTCGAGATCCACGTCCAGCCAGTCCTTGCCCTTGTAGCAGGCGGGCAGCTCGGCGGCGGTGGCCTGGCGGCCCAGGCACCAGTGGCGTGATCCCTTCCAGGTGGCGCCCCGCCGCACGTGCCGATACTCGGACATGTAGCGGGCAATAGGTTGGCGCAGCAGCGAGATGTAGAAGTACCGCCGCTTGGCCGTCTCCCCCTCGTTCTTGTCCAGCTCCACGTCCACGCAGCTGGTGAGCTCGGTCCAGTCGGCATGGAGGCCGCACTTCCAGCCCGTCGAGTAGCGGGAAAAGAGCCAGTTCTCATTGCGATGCGGTCGGAAGCAGTAGCAGCGCTTTCTTTGCCGCTGGCACTCGCAGGGACGCTGGATACATTTGGTAAACATATCAGTTACTGGCGCTCATTTCAGGATATATCAATTACTCACCTTTAGGTCCAGATCCCTGACCAGGTGGCGGCCAAACGAGGTGCCGCCCGTCTTCTGGATGTGCAGGAAGACCATCACGTCGTGGCCATCCATGTCGAACTGAAAGTCATCGTTTAGCACATCCTCGTAGCTCAGCCCTGCATTGGCGATGATGTTTTGCGGGGCGGAGGACTTGGAGGCCATGGCCGTGATGCCGCCCCCACTGTTACCATTGCCATTAATGCTGTTGGCCTGATGGAGTGGGAGCTCATTATAGGCGAGGATATCCGAAGACTGCAGTATGACGGCGCGTTTGGATAGGGCGCATACCTGCGGTCATGGAGAGGGGAAAAACATTAAATATTACACACAGTTCAATGGGAGGGAGTACCGACACGCCGCATACCCATTAAATAAAGCTCTTAATGCCCATTGCAGTGTATGGAGTAAGTACATTTTTATTCAATGTGCTCCACTCAGGATGCAAGTATATTGCGCGCCCTCTCATCTTTAATTTTTAATACCGCCAAGGGCCTCAAAGTAAATTTATTGGCTGCAAAAACTGCAGCGACCAAATGTGTGCGTGTCGAAGTGTTTATTCTGCGCATTAATTAAATGCACATCAGGCTTAAATGCATATTTTTGGCTCAACACAGGTTGCTGCTCCAACTACACGCAACTTAATTTAACGCAGAGTGAAGGCTTGTGAAATTTTCCCACTCAGCTCGCATTTTCTTTTTCCCTTTGTCTGCTTTATTTACTTGGTGGAATGTGCACTTTTATTTATGGCACGTACTCAGAGCTTATTAATATCGAACATGGGTTTATCCCCATTTCACTGCACTCACAACAATTATATTGGATATGAGCTGTTTGAAGATATTCAATATTTACTTGCCATTATTTCAATGGACGTGGATAAAAGCGTAAACAGCCAAAGGATAGCAAACTTTTTGTGGCATATTTTCAGGCTGTGAACAATATTACAATCGAGTTTAGGGGTGGTTTCAATTGGAGTATTCACATTGGCTACATAAGAGGTCCTGGTTTCCAACTGGATTGATTGGTTTTTCTTAGTAGATTTGCAATGGGAAGGTATAACAATATAACAATTCTTTGAACCAAAAAATAGTTGTTCCAGGTTGACTATATGCAACCATCAACAAGTATATATGTATAACAGTCGCCATGTGCAGTCCCCAGGTGCACTTCGTCACTACGCGAACTTCTGTCTAAATTAATATGCTATAAGTTCAAGTTAATGGTAGATTCCTTTAACTTTGGTTTATTTGTAGAAGACATCAAGTCACATGTAGAAATATTCCAGCAGTTTAGAACAGCCGACTATTTGCATTTAAAAACTTTCTAATTAGAATAAGTTTTGCGTTTTGTTTTTATCATTATTTGTCAATTTTGCCCACAGCCAGGCCTGAACAGAAGATAAAACAGGACCTCAGTTGTCCACAAGCCAGGCGGATGCCACACACACACATAGTCACACTTAGCAATCAAACTAGACAAAAGTTTCTCGATTAAAATGAGCAACTTTTGCGAAATTCTCTTATCTAACAATTTCCGCTGCTTAGTTGAACCGAAATGAGCAAAGCACGCAACAAGAAAAGCGGGGAAAACAAGAAACAAGCGAGGAAAACTCAGCTCATTAGACAATTGGCAGGCAGGCGGAATCGTTGCCGGCCATAAGGAATTAAGAGCTCCTGGGTTGCCAGGGTCCTTCCTCCTCCCAATCATTAAGTCTCTGCTCCATCGAACTCGAACTCCCACTCCCACTTTCACTCACAGAGCCATGAATGCATGTAAGCTTGTTTCCACAAAAGTTGGCCATTTAAATGTCCAGAAAAAGATGGCTGATGGAAAAGGGGAAGCTACAACCCAGTTGCAAGGTGTGCTGCCCTGGGGCGAAAAGTTTTGAATTTATTGTGGCCGCCACCGCAGCGCAGCAATTGGATATAACAGAAAGGATATCGGGGGATATCGTTGGGGCTGTCCAAGGACTCTTTACTGTAATCCCTTTGTGACTGTCGTTCCGTTTATTTGTTTCTCGTGTATTGTTGTCAAGTTGTTTAGTGGCTCAAGTCAGTTACTAGCACTTGAAATGAGCTTCTAAAAACAAGATTTTCTTCGAGCAAAACACATTAAATGCGGGACATTATGTCCAGCGGCTTAATGACGAGCAATAAATTCAAAACACAGTAAATTTATATGGAGCACGTAAATTCGCATTAAACACAAGTATACAGTTTGGTGTGTCGAGAATGAGAGCGAAATCCACCACTAATGGGTAATTTAATTTTATTTTCCGTGCTACGGCGACATAACTTAAATGGAGTTCGCCCAAAAGGCGCACAGCCTCCACATCGAAAATATGATAATAATAATAACAGTTTTGTGTGAGCCTTTGCCCAGACTTTAATTGCTTTTATTGCCACGAAAATCGGTGCCCAGTCTTGTGAAATAATATAATAACTTCCATTATGTGCTAAATTTGTTAGAAATTTATGCACATCGGAAGTATTAACATTTAATTCAGCTTAGCGGAAATGCAAAACGATGTGTGCACTTTTTTGGCATTTCCGCTGGGAAATCAAATGGCGAGCCAATAGAAATTTACAAAACATGCTAAATAATTGATGGACACGGACATGCCGAAATATTCATTGAGTTTGCATTGAAAACACATTCTGATTCCACTTAATAATGGCTGAATAATTGGATGCGCTTTTTTTTGTAAGCTGATAGGACGTAATTCAATTTGAATGGTGAGTCCCTAGTTGAAAGATTACAATTTTCATTCCCTATGCGTAATTTGAAATGTGATTACAATAATCCACTAAATGAAGTAGAACTGCAATTTCGATTCCTCGGGCACATAACCGGTTTTGTTAAATATAATTACATGCCATCGACAATCAACCGAACAGGTTGATTTCACAAAATTTCTGATCTTGCTGTTGATTGCATTCGAGAAACCCAACAAAGCAGCCATTTAACTTTGGTATGAACGTGACACAGCCAGCAATAAAAGCAAGCTGAAAAATAAGAATGCTCGGCAATAATTTCCATTCATGAAGTGAAGTGCAAGCAAACAAATGACACACATCAAAAGCCAGAGCCAAGTGAAAAAAACGTAAAAGAGCGAAAGAAACTGCGTCTAAATTAATATTTATGTTGTAGAAGCAGCTCAGATTTAAGATTGTTTGCTTTATGAACTGGCGGCCGGCCACAAAAACCAGATCCAGCCAAAAACTGTAGGAAGTTCCCCTGAAATGGGGTCAGGACACCGACGGAGTCGTAAATCTCGAGCACCGCAAAAATCAACAATAAAACTTTCGCTGCTAAAAACGTTGAATTCTCAAGATACATTTCCATGCCATTGTCGTAAAAAAGATAGCTACAACTGAGTGGTGAAGGAGCAATGGAAATGGAGCACGCAGTACAAGTCTGTAAAAATCTCTGCGCCTGTAAATTGACAAAGACTTTTGGAATGTAGAGGATGGGCATTGGCAATAAAGTTCAAGTTTCTACAATTTGCTTTATGCCTTGAATGGTGTTAACATATTTTCTAAAAATTGTATCCGATGTAAACTGGGATGTACTTACAATTATTTCAGTTTAATATACGCATTTGTTGCGAATTGAATTTAGGTCCTTGGTGGAGCAGAAACTTCTCTCAAAAGGATTTCTACAATTTTGATTGAAATAGGATTAAGAGAGATTTCTGTGTCACATCTTTTATTATACCCGTTACTCGTAGAGTAAAGGGGTATCTAGATTCGTTGAAAAGTATGTAACAGGCAGAGGAAAAAAAATTAAAAAATGTCCCAAGGCTTAAGTTCTAAAGTCCATATCTCAACTTATCTTAATCGGATTTTGAAGTGGCATACCTCTTAATATTTCTGGCGCAATTCTCTAAATATCTGCATTTAAATTTAGAAGTTAATTTTTTTGATGTTGTAGAAATTGTAACAAAAACTTTCACGACCACACTTTTAAAAATTCTTAAGTTGTTTTTCATTTTATTACTTTATTCCCAATTTCTACCGATATTCCAGAAAATGAGTAACGGGTATCTGACAGTCGGGGAACTCGACTATAGCATTCTATCTTGTTTTTAAGTAAAGAGTTGTTTTAAAATCATGTGCGATTTGTATGATGAAAATTTTCCTTAGGAAAATCCATATATCCTGACATTTTTAAATGTGTGTCAATAAACATTTTTCACATTTCATTTTCATGCATGTCACAATTATTATTTGAAATAAACTGCCGATCGCAATAAGTACACTTTAAAAAATGGGAATGTTTAGCTGCAGCACTGGCACTTTGCACTCCAGGACGGAAATGCACCGCTTGTTGAGATCATGGCGAATGTATCCGAACTTGCAGCCACATCCCAGCCGACACCTTTTTATGAAAACGCAAAGGGGCTCTTCGATGTAGGGATGCGCGCATTTTGGCTCAGTGCAGGGCAAGCAGGCACGCTCCTCGTTTTCGCCGCAAGCTAAAGGAGTCGAGGCACACAGATTCTGTGATTTCGGGAATGCCGCTTCTTCGCTCACCTACGTTCACTAAACGGGTAAGCTAAGGAACTACCCATTAGAACAAATAGCGAAAAAAACTTCAAAGTTGTTTGGCGATGCAACATGGACGTTGTGTGGGATAAGAAATAAAACTGAGAGCAGGCGTTCTAGGTCATTTGGCAAAACCAATCGTTTTCACGGGACAATTAGCTACGGCGTAAAGAGCATAAAAGCTGAAAATAATATACAAAACAAAAGGGTTAGTAACATGTGGTTTTATCTGCACTTCTTCTGGCATTTTCAGCATTGTCTGGCTGTCGCGAATCAAATAAAATTAAACACCGCGAACTCTGATTACAATTCACGATGATAACGAACGAACTGTAACAAACTGGCTATTTTTAGAAGGCAAACCATATTCTGGTAGCAATTATTTTCACATAAGTGCGCTCAAAGCCACATTCCGCTGCGTTTAATGGTGTCATTGGCTAACTAAAAATTTGGTGGGCATCCAATGGTGAACAGCCACTCGGACGTACAAATATCCGCAGACAGATATAGAAAGCGTTCCGCCAAAGGGCTATTCAAGCCGTCATCCAGGCCAGCAGAGGTAAACAGCATGCCCCGAATAGCATACCCCTTGTGTTGCGTAGATAAGCTGAACTATGACCTATGCCTGGACAGGGATTTCGGAAAACGGAATGGGGAAAAATATTACCCAAACTGGCCCGAACTGACCGAATGATAAATGATGGTAGGGCCCTGCATTTGATTATCATTTGAACAAATATGCAGCTGAAATTGCGGTGGCGGGTGAAATTTGCAATGAAAATCGTGTAGATTGCGGTCATGGCAGGGTTTAAGCT